AGAGAGAGAGAGAGAGAGAGAGAGAGAGAATAAAGGGGTACTCACGGGCAAGTACTTTGAGTTGTCGCCACAATTCTTAACCTGGCAGTCATTCACACCGCTGCAGTGAACGTATCGTCTCACGTTGGAGACCAGCGGGAAATTCCGAAGTCCTAGCTCCCAATTGTCGGTGCTGCACACTTGGCACATCTCTTGACCATTCTCTGAGGCCGGAGCGATGCAGTCTTTCTGTGACGGGAGGTAAGCGAAGCCTTTTGGACACTGCACGACATAGGCCTCGCCTCCTGCAGCGCAGTACACGTATTTTGTGGGCGTGTTCGGGTGGGCGTGGTAACCTGTGGCCCCGCCCTTGCACACAGCTGTGGGGCTGTCAGTTGCTGATCATGGATGAGAGAGATGAGGAGGGAGTGTGAGAGAGAGAGAGGGAGGGAGTGTGAGAGGGAGAGAGAGAGGGGGGGAGAGATTGTTTAAGAGAGAGAGAGAGAGAGAGAGAGAGAGAGAGAGAAAGAGAGAGAGAAAGAGAAAGTTTGTGTGTGAGAGGGAGAGAATGGTGAGAGAGTGCGAGTGTGAGGGAACGAGAGAGTGTGTGTATGAAAGAGAATTAGAGAGATAGTTTGAGAAGGAGGGTGTATTTGTATATATATGTATATGTGTGTGTGTATGTGTGTGTTTATGTGTGGATGTGTGTGTGTGTGTGTGTGTGTGTGTGAGAGAGAGAGAGAGAGAGAGAGAGAGAGAGAGAGAGAGAGAGAGAGAGAGAAAGAAAGATTGATTGATCGATCGATTGGTAGAGGGGGTAGAGAAGTGAGGAGACGGTGACAGGGGAGATCAGAAACACATCTAATGTGATAAATGTAGACGAAATTGTGTGTGAATGAATTCCATGTAAGCGATGTGAAGTGGGAACAGTTGAAATGGGAAGAGTGCTGACAAAATGAGTTGCTTCTAGGATTCAAGCCTTATAGAAATACATACAGCACGCTTAAATAGGTGAAGTTTATACAGTTTAAAAGTATGAACATAACAAAAAGCATGTTATACTTTGAAGAATAAGGCATCAATGGAAAGTCTACAAATTTGACCCTAGTGTCGATTTTTGGCCAATATCTCCATTAATTTTGTGGATTGTGAGAAGTAACTCATTTTGTCAGCACACCTCACAAATGGTATGAGGTGAAATGAAGTGATCTTGGACTTTTGTTTGTCTACTAATTGTGAAGCGTGCTGACAAAATGAGGTACTTCTCGAATTCAAGCCTTAAATGGAAAAAAGGTATTGGCCTATCACGCTTATACTACGTGAAGTTTTTATAATGTTATTACTATGAAATAATAAGAGGTATTTTATAGTTGAAAAATATGACATTAAATTATGAACATTCTACAAAATTTGACTCCTGTGTCGATTTTTGGCCAATATTTCCATTTGTGGATTGTGAGAAGTAACTCAGTTTGACAGCACCTCTCACAATTGGTTTAGAAAAGACACCAGTGCTGAACAAGAAGGCAAATAAAGGGGAAACAAAGCAACGGTAGACACAAAACAACTTACTTGGAAAGTCTGAACAGATGGATGAGGGGAAATATCAGTGAAATCTAGGGTTGTTGTTGTTGTTGTTGTTGCTGCTGTTGTTGTTGTTGTTGTTGTTGTTGTTGTCATTGTTGTTGTTGTTTTGTTATTTAATTTTGGACCGTTTTTTGGTTTTCTTTTGTTTAGGTTCTGGTTTTGCCTTTTCGTTTTGTTTTTTTTTGTTTTGGGATTTTAATAATGTTTTGGGGTGCCTCTAAAAAATATAGTTTTCTTTTTAGCGTATCTGAGCAAAGAAATGAATGGCTCGACGATGTGTGTATGTAACAGATATGGCATCTGAAGATGCTGACTCTTTTTTTTCTTTGCCCATTTATATGAGATTGACGCCATCTGATTAGTTGAAAAAATTGCATATTATAGTGTCCAATAGTGTATTACGTGCACACTTAGTATATCAATTAACTGTTATAGTAGATAGAAATTCCAGGATTACACATGTAAGTCATTGATCTGAGAGAGGTGATGATTTTAGACATAATAGTGGTGATGATTGATGATGAGGGATTGCGTTTAAGTAATGTTAGCGTTAGTCCTATCTTCCTCTGCTCCAATGAGTCACGAGGGATGTGGGCACCCTCTATCCCGTTCCCTAGTGGAACCATCTTTACGGTCACCATGAAGTCCCGAAATGGTGGGCTCAGTCTCTGCTAAGGTGACATTATTAGTGTTAGCCTATTCTATCGGGCTAAGACAAGTGTAGAGAGGAGCTAAGTGTGAAGACAGTATAGTGGCAGGTTTGTTGGGGTTTTGTAAGCGGGTTGTAGGTAGCAAGTTATGATCTTTAAAATTGTAGCATTTTACTCCCTGATCATTTGCCTCAAGTATTCATTTCGAGTCCAATTGAGCTTGCAGAGATTCTGACGCAGGACCCTCGAACCCGAGTCGAGGGGGCACAATTTACACAGAATATTGTATCCCCTCGCCTCAGGTGCTGAATCAAGAGAAAACGTACCATTGACCTTCTCGTAGGCTCCACTCTTCACGTAGTCAATGTCGGAGCATTCCTGAAGCTGCCCGTCCTTGACACACAGATTGGAAGCACCTGTAGAAAAAAGACGGTCCGTTTTAATTTGACGGGGCTGGGAAAAGGGGAAATTAATTTTTAATCAATAACATATGTGAGTGTGTGTGTGTGTGTGTGTGTGTGTGTGTGTGTGTGTGTGTGTGTGTGT